ACACAGACAGAGAGAGACACAGAGAGAGAGAGACACAGAGAGAGACACAGACAGAGAGAGACACAGACAGAGAGAGACAGACAGAGAGACACAGACACACAGACAGAGAGACACAGACACAGACAGAGACACAGACAGAGAGACACAGACAGAGAGATACACAGTTATTAAAGGACACGCCCCTTTCTTCTTCCTCCTCCTCCTCCTCCTCCTCCTCTGTAGCTAGACTACCTTGCTGCCAGTCTGCTCCTGGTCCAGGTCTTGTTCTGGGTCCTGGTCCTGGTTCTTCCAGCGTAGGAACTCTCTGAAGGAGAACGGGTTCAGGTCCAGGTCCAGGTTCAGGTCCTCAGAGTCCAGCTGCTCGTCTGCTGAGGAGGTCAGACCACGTGATGACGACGTGAGATCAGCTGACCATCGTAACAATAACAACAATAACAACAATCATCATACCGTCTGTGATGATCAGACTCTTCTGTTTGGACATGACGTCACTTACTGGTCATCGATCGTCACGTCTTTCCCGCCGTGTCTCTCCTCCTGCGGGACTAAAAACAGAACCCGGAAGCACACACATGCGACAGCTCCGAAACTCACGTGACCGACCTTCTGACTTCTTATTGGCTGAGACGATCACGTGACGCAGGAGGCAGAAGACGGTAGAAGAAAAAAAAGATACGAGTTTCTTCTCCACGTGTCCCGTTTCAGAGCTGCGGTCCCGGTTCCCTGCGGATCTCCTCCGGTGAGTGGGTTAGTGCATGAGCCCGGGTTAGCCCGGCTCGTCTTGGCGGGGATTTAAAGCAGCTCGGCGGGTCTGGAGCCGGATGTCAAACCGGGTTCGTCTGCTCTGGTTCTTATCCAGGTCTTATATGGGTCTCCTCATCCGGCTGTGATTGACAGCTGGTGGGCGGGGCTGGAGAACTGGTTCTGGTCCCGGATCAGTCTTCAGCTGCATCGGTGTGTGTGTGAAAACCAAAAACAAACAAATTCAAAAATGATCAAATTTAACGGGGGCACGTGTGTTCAGTGTACCGGATGTGACCGAAGACAGTTTGTGGTTGGATGACGTCATTCACTAAATACGTTATTTCAGCTCAAGTTTGTTCCGAATTATAAAGAAACTGAAGAACTCACCTCCTGGTTCCTCCTTCAGGTTTGTGAGGAGATGGTAAAATAGTTTAAATGATGTTTGGTCAGAAGCTGTTAACTGAGCAGTGTGACCACTGACCACTGTGGCCAGTGTGACCTCATGTGTCCAATCTGCAGAGCTGGACAATGTCTGAAGAGATTCCACCTGAGGGGGGGCACCCCCAGGCCCAGTCCACCGAGTCCCAGGCCCAGTCCACCCAGTCCCCATCCCAGGTCCAGTCCAAGTCCCAGCCCGGTTCCAGTTCTTCCAGCGGGCCGACCTCTGCCAGCCAGTCCTCCAGTGGGTCTGGGACCCTGAGCAGCGTGGACACCATCCCCGTCACCCTGTCCTCCGTCCCCGAGGAGCCTGAACCACAACCCTGGGGCCGCCTGCTGCCCATGGCCCCGGGCTTCAGGAGCCTCGGTGAGTCCACATGCTAAAACTAGACCTTAAACTAGACCCGATACCCGTCTGCTACTGAACCAGGTCTGAGCCCTGAAGTTAAAGTAGTGTCCAGATAGTCCTGGTACTCATGGTGTCCTTTGTCGACAGACTGTTTTGAGGACCAGTACCTGTTTGGACGAGACTCTCAGTGTAATTATGTTCTGAATGACCCGAATGAGCTTCGATCCAAAAAGTTCAGAATCTACAGTAAGAAACACTTCAGGGTCTACAGAGTGAGTCACTTCCTGTTTCCTCCTTCATTCATATTGTTCATCGATGACGGGATGATGTGGCTTCAGACTCTGACAGGAACCCGTCTGTCTCCCTCCCTCCTCTCTCTGTCCCTCCCTCCCTCCTCTCTCTGTCCCTCCCTTCTCTCTCTCTGTCCCTCCCTTCTCTCTCTCTTTCTCTCTCTCTCTCCTCTCTCCTCTCTTTGTCTCTCCCTCAGGAGGGCAGTGAGGTGTTCGTGGTGGACTTCAGTAACAACGGGACGTTTGTTGACGGTCTGCGTATCGGTAAAGACATGAAGCTTCCTCTGGTCAACAATGCTGTGATCTCATTGGCTGAGCAGCGGAACAAAGGTGTGAGCCGTCTTCAGAGGTCAGAGGTCAGTCAGCTGTTAGAGCAGGTCTCACCTCACACTGCCCGTCTGTCTGCAGTGTTTGTGTTCATCGACCTGATGTCGGACCATCAGTCCAGTTTACCCAAAGAGCTGCAGGAGAAATATCTGCTGACTCGACGCATCGGCACGTGAGTCTGACACGGAGATGCCGCTGTGATGTCACTTCCTGCTCCTTGACACGCTGTGTGTGTGTGTGTGTGTGTGTGTGTGTGTGTGTGTGTG